GCTCATCTTGCTGGGATCCTATGACCCCAGCTGACTTCCTGCCCTTTGGGCAGGGGGCTGGACTCGATGATCTTCCGAGGTCCCTTCCAGCCCTAATGTCTATGAAATCTATGAAAACAGCGGTGACTGACTATGCATCAGCTTCTCTGTCTGTGTATGCAGTAGTAAGTGGAACCTTATCTCATAGTAAGGGAACCTAAATTGCAGTAATTTACTCTTTCATTAAGGACTATATACTATGTTATATTAGCTTCCATTTGCCTTCAAGTGACATTGTACAGGCAATCCCCATTTAAGGCTGTTCTGCTTAGCGCTGTTTTGTTATAATGCTCATTTTAAATTAACACCTGATTGTACTTAGCACTCAGCGAGTTTCATTATAACACTTGTGGTCGCCATCTTGGATCATTAAAAACAATTGAGGTCGCCATCTCGGGTCGTCAAATACTTTTGGTTTTGCTTAACTCTCATGTTGCTTAACGCTCGGTTTTTCAGGACCAATAAAGAGCGCTAAGCGGGGGTTCCCTGTACAGTTATAACAAAGCAAGTGTTGCATAGTAAATCCTGGTCCCTTTTCAATATATAATGAATTGTAATGTCTAATGTATGGACATGTGAACAACAGAGGCTCCATCACTCTCTTGAACATGAGGTTACTGTTTCAGTCATATTCCATTTGGCATATCACCAACACCAGAATGTTCCCTAAAGATAATCTCAGCTTGTACATGTCCGAATATCTTGATGTCCCTTGCCATACAGGTAATGTGCTGATTTACATGAAAAAAAAAAAAAAAAGCAAAAGCAATTATATTCATTTTTGAGACACCTTCCATCTGCTTACTTTATTCTGTGTAAGAAATATGAATCTGAAAAAAACCTTTATATTTGTATGACCCATAAATAGTAAATAGGGAATTTAGTTGGACTCAAAGTGAATAATGCTTTCATTTTCCCCTATCTGAAACCTAAGACATTTATGCTATTATTAAGAATTTTGGGCGGAAATATACTGATATCTCTATGTATTTTTGGCACGATAGTAAACTGGCCAACAACATACTTTCTTATGGTCTAGGAGCAAAGCTTACAGAAGAAGCCTCATTCTGCCTCCATGATGCAACCCAAGGCACCACTAAGAGACACACTTGTCTACTTACTCCATTTAGCACATGCCAACGCCCAGAAATCTGGCAGTGTAGCCATTTAGTATGGCCTTGAACACTTGCCCAAGCCTGTTTTCAGACTGTCTCAGGTATGCTTGCCTAATTTCTGGGCTTTGGATTAAAAACTACCTAATGATAGCTTGCAAAATGTAATTATAAACAGAATCATCATTAACTAGTAGGACTGTGCAAAGCTTTGGTCCCCGATTCAATTTGGCGGAGATTTGGCTTGATCCGATGGCCAAATCTCCGAATCTGAATCGAATCAGAGAACCCTTTAATGTCTCCGATTCGAATTGGAACCCTCCAAATTGATTCGGAGAGATTTGGACATAGACACAGCTTTAAATGTTTGTTCTACTTACCTCTAGGCAGCAGGAGGCTCGTGAAGGCTGAGACGCTGGAGCGTCCCACAGGAGCCCAGGGGGCTCCCCAGCACGCTCGGCAGCAGACCTGGAAGTGGACCAGAAGCACTTCTGGTCTACTTCCAGGTCCGCCGGGGAGCACGCTGAGGGGGCTCCGACATGCCCCCAGGCTCGGTGACTGGTGCCTCCTTGGTCTGGAGGGGACACCCAGGGTCCCCCTGTAGCTAATCGCCAAGCCGGGGGCTTGCAGGGCCCCCCCCAGTGCTCTCCTTGGCGGACCCGGAACTGGACCGGAATTACTTCTGGTCCACTTCCGGGTTCACTGCCGAGCACGTGGAGGGCCCCCCCCCCACTCCTGTGAGACACTCCATGCGCCCCAGCACTGCAGTGTTCACAGGCTGCGCTGGTACCTCAAGGTATGTAGAAAAAGCGTTTAAAGCGGTGTCTGTGCCCGAATTGCTGATTCTGTGAATCAGCATCGAATCTTCAGATTTTAATTCGGCCAAATCAAATCAGGGTCAGTGATCCAAATCAATTAATTGAATTGCTGTCCCTAATTCGGGCCGAATTCGAATCCAAATTGAATAGGGCCCGCTTCGCACGCCCGCATTAACTAGGTGTGTTTTTAATGGTGTGCTGCAAGGATTGGTTTTCAGCCCTGTGGATTGATTATTGAATTCCTGGTCCTCCACTTACCAGAAAGAACCAGAATGAGTTGTAGGTTGATAAAAATATGTGGAGTAAGTTACAGGAAGGAGAGCTCTCTAGCTGAAGGATAAAGCATGGCTCTTTTTGTTAGGCAGAAGTCAGGATAGATGGCTGAGCAGCAAGTTGGTAGGACATGTTTTGTCATTTTGTTTTCACTGATGATCATTTAAGTGACTGATACTGCTTCTTTTTAATATTCTTAAGTAGTTGTCATCAACTTTACAGTTGGCTAATTGAAAAAGAAGTACTAATGGCCTAGCAACTACTAACACTCACTGTAATTCTAAAAAAACACTGTCCCTACACATATATCCACCCAGTGTCAATATGACCAAATTAACACTGATCATAAGAAGATCTATAAATGAAATACAGCATATATCTACACAAGCGTCTTGTCAGGATTACAAACTTTTAATGACTATCAAAAGAAACCTGATGATGTAATTAACCAAAGAGCTGAAAGTACGGAAGGAGAAAAGTTAAATAGGAAAAAGTTCAGTATCCTCCTGTTACTTGGCAAATTTGACTGATCTCAATTACAGGGATCAAAACAGTCTAGAATGGGTAAAAGAGTCTGAAATATCGCTGATATAACTCAGAAGGCAGGGTAGACTAAGTAAAATGTATACAGAGTGTTCTTTATACATATCTTAGTTAATAAAGGTGCATATCTACTCTTTGTTCTGACTGGGTGCATCTACACTAATGCAATGCAATAAACTCTGGCACATATTGTGCTAAAGTGGCGCATATAGCAGCCACTGCAACTCGTTGAGCTGAGTCAGAGAAGCCCGGGGAGTCAGCCCGTCAGGCTGGGGCTACTCCAACCTGGCTCAGTGTGCTGCAGAGGGGTTGGCTAGGGCAGCCTTCTCACTGAAGAGCCCTTGTGCCCCAGCCAGCCCCATCAATGTCTACATGTGTGTTGCTGCACGCCAAAAAACATTGTTGTAGGATAGTGCTTGTGTTTACAAGTACTAATCTACAGCAGAGTTAATTAGTTTACTGTGACCTAAGAGGGCCACATGTGTAGACACAGACATTTTCTGTGGAACTAATTAGGCCGCTCCACTAATTAGGAAACTAATTAGTAAACAGCTCATGTAGATGTGCCCACTGACTTCAAACTAACATGGCTAACTACCTCATAGGGACCTCAGTAGGTCATCGAGTCTGACCCCCTGCCCTGGGCAGGAAGGAGCGCAGGGGTCAGATAAACCCAGCTAGGTGCTTGTCCAGTCTCCTCTTGAAGACCCCCAAGATAGGGGAGAGCACCACCTCCCTTGGGAGCCCATTCCAGATTCTGACACCTCTTACTGTGAAGAAGTTCTTTCTAATGTCCAACCTAAATCTGCTCTCCATCAAAAAAACAAACCTCTTCGCGAAGGAAAATAAAATTAAACCTGTCATCCGTTCAGCAATCTTCCCCTTGCTGCAGGAGTCTCTGGTGCTGACTCTCTCCTCCTTGACTTCAAAGTATATACACCGGTTCGCCAAAGCCGCAAACCAGTGCTCTGTTGGGGTTTATTTTTTCTTTCAGTAATTAGTGCCCTGCCAGCTCAATTGACCCCTCACGGCAGCCAATTAATGCGGGACCATTTTTTTTTCTTCTCTCTGAGCTCCTCTGAGCTCTGAAGACCCAGTAGGTCTTAAGTCCCCTTCCTGGAGACTTCAGTCTTGGGCGGCAGATAGGTATTCACCCTCACTGCTGTTCCCATCTCTTGCCTTCACCTCCTCTCCTCATCCTGGTGTGCCACCCCGGAAATACCTCCTGGCGGCTTAATTAACCCAATTCGATTCACCCGGCGAGCTGATAAGGCGATGCCGGGAAGGATTGGGAGGTCTTTCTGCAGTATAGCCATGCCACTTGCGCTTGGCAGACTCCTCTGGCCAGGGGACTTCTTGGGGTATGTAATCTTGCTCTTTTCACAGTGGATGGTAATGAGTCCATGTTTCTAATGTTGTTTATTCATTTTGCATTACCAAAATGCTGAGAAAAATGTATAAATAGCTCTGCTTGCCTGAAACCCCCTCCCTTGAGGGACTGGAATAGGTGCCCACAGAGGCATAGCAAAGTCTTTCAGTGCTGGGTAGGAGGAAGGGAGGGAATTATGTTGACCACTGGGAGCAGAGGGGAGGCAGGTGGGGAAAGATGAGAAGAGGGAGAGGAATCTTATCTGCTGGGGCTCTCCTCACTTGAGCAGGAGCTGCTCCTGCTGCTGCCATAGTAGCACAGGCTTGCTCACCAGATGTTGCACCTAGTACAACAGGTACACAGCCCCACACTCCTATGGGAAAGTTCCCTAGTGGGACATAATTACACACACACAGGGATGCACATGCACAGATATACTGCCAGGTGCAGAGCTGCGCCTGCCCAGCTTCTATAGCCAGGCTGCTCCTGCCATAATAAAGACTCCTGGGGGGACAGGGCCATACTGGTGCCCCTCTAAGTCAGCACCTGGGGTTAGTGTCCCACTTGCCCTACTTTAGTTACTGTACTAGATGCCCAAACTGTACTATTTGGAAAGCCTTCTAGAGCCAGTCTTCATTACTGTACTTCTTCATATGGGATGGACCTCTTGGAAGTTATACCCAGAATCCCTATCAGAAAGGAATATGGGTTTGTGTTGGAAGTGATGGAGTGGTAGTAGCAAATTTTAAGGTCTCTGATTTTTTTTTTTCAGAAAAAGAAAACTCATATGAGAGCAATACTTGCAGTCTCCAGTCTTCTCTCAATTACCTTCCTGCCTTAAAGGACAAGAGTTGACTCTATCAAATCCCTCCTTAAATCACAGTTTTCCTATGACACCTCTCACCACACAGGAAGGTGGAGTGGATGTGTTGATCAATTTGTTTTCAGATCACCCTGTATACTACAGGCCAGAGCCCTCCATCACTTAGGATCATAGGAAAGTAAGGCTGGAAGGGCCCTCATAAGGTCATCTACTCCACCCTCCTGCTCGAGACAGGATCATCCCTGACTAAACTATCCCAAGCCAAGCTTTTGTCTCACCTAAAAGTTTCCAGGGATGGAGATTCCACAGCTTCTCTACCTAGCCTGTTACAACGCTTGACCACTTTCATAGTCGGGAAGTTCCTCCTAATCTTTAGCCTAAATTTCTCCTGCTGCAGCTTGAGTCCATTGGTCCTAGTCCTGTCCTTTACAGCCACAGAGAAATGCCCTTCTCCATTCCCTCCATGGCTTGTACGGATACAACTCCATTAGGCCAGATCCTGTCCCATTCCTAAAATGTGTTTAGATTAGTGCCATGCCTTACAGTTACATTACTCCAGATAAACAAATATACATCAGTGTATGCGTTTTATTTGGAATTAAAGAGTTGCTGGGTAAAATACATAAACAGTACTGGAAGCTGGGGTCAAAAACCAGGGTTCCTTCCTTCCTTCCAGGCCTGCCTTCTTCCTGGGACACAAAGTTCCCTCTTGCTTGCTCTCTTTTTGGCCTAACTCTTTTCTTGTTGGCTACTCGGTGAGCCAGTTCTGAGGGGAGGATGTGTGTAAGGTAATTAGTCTGCTCCTTTGGTTGCTAGTTAGGAGCTACAGGAAGTATGCTCAGCTGTGGTATGAGTTCAAACTACACTCCGACTGAGGGGCAGGAAAAAAAACAGATCTTCTGTGTCCTTGGCAAGCGCTCTAAATTATAGGTTATGTGTAAAGAAGGAAAAGCAGGAGCTTTATGCTGATGTGGGCATATATATCTGTCTGCTTAGGCCAGATGTCCTGCTAGGACGCATATGCCTTATATGAGGGGTGTCAAAGATCCAGCCTGCAGGCTGGATGCAATGCATGGGGCTGGACCTAGTACTACAGGTGCAGTATGCAGCACATGGGGCTGGGCTGGGGTACTCGCCAGTCTGGATCAGGCCCACAAACTAACTTTTTAAAGCATGGTAGTACAGAATGGGTACAACATAGAAGCTGTCTTTGGAATCACTTCAAGCACTAAAAAAATTGATTTAGGGTTAACTTGGAGCAATTCTGAATGCATGAGGTTATACTAAATGCAGCTTTCCTTACTAAAGGCATACAAATAGATACAGATGACAAATTTGACAAGATGACATGTATTTTAATCATCAGCTTAATTAATAGCAACTTTACATTTCACACTTCATATTTGTTTTTGTTTTAAATCTGATCATTTAAAATTTATCTAAAATATTTAATTGACAGCCAACACACTTAACAACCACCTAATATTGTGAATGGGACCCTTAGTAATAGCCTTACATTTATGTAATGTCTGTCATCCCAAAGACTTTTCATATATGCAGCCTCCGCTACTACAATGCATCCACTCGAGATGGTGTACAAAGCAGAATTTGTTTAACAAGCTGTTTAACAATGTTACAGAGCAATTTAGGGCAGGGCATGATAACTATTTAGCGCTGCTACAAACTGCAAGGAAGTGAGTTGGATGACTTGGACAACAGAAAATAAGAGGAAATCTTTTAAATGCATGTTGCCAATTTGGACCTAAGCATGCTCAATAGTGACCAAAAGCTGGGGTTTTTTGAAGTCTATTGTCTATCTGTGCACTGTAAGCTGCTGGTTTCAGGCAACATTGAAGTGAACAAATGTTCATGTAATAAACACTGCTGCCATAAGTTGCACTAATCACAGTTTAATGAACAATCAATTCACTAAATAAAAATAAGATGGAAAACGGGAACTACTGGGTAAATTTACATACACAAAATGTAGAGCAGAGGTTCCCACACTTTTTCTTGTTGTGTACCCCTTTCCAGATTAATCAGCTGTCCACATACCCCCTACCTGCATACATTTTTGTATTTAACCCCTTAAATGCCAAGTATTATTATAATGAAAATTAAATTCCCTTACACAATTTCTCCCACATATTCCCCAGAGACATCTTGTGTAACCCCAGGGGTACCTGTACCACAGTCTGGGAGCCCCAATGTAATGTGAATGTAGTGTGTGTAACAGAATATGATTTTCTACATAAAAGTGGGAATTCCCCCTTGCTTCTTGTGTCACTTTTTGGGGCAGCAGAGATACCAGAGAGTGGTGGCCATAGGCCATAAGGCACAGGACAAACTGCTGCAGTGAGCATACAGATTTTGTTTGTTGTGTGGGAGCATTTGATATGGGAAGATGCATACCATGGAGGAGGGGGTACCCCCAATGGAAGGGGAAAAACACACATACCCCATCTAGTGTCTCAAGGCCTATACTCAACCCAGCCCCCTATAGTGCTGGACTGAATGGGATGACTAGCATGAACAATTTGAAATGGCAGCTGAGTTAAATGGGCGGAATAAGGATACTAAGCTAAATTTCCTGAGCCTGTTGCTCACAGGGAAGGCCAGGGAGGTTTACTGTGGGCTCAGCCATGAAGCCAAACAGCATTACAAGCTTCTGACAGGGGTCCTTAGGAATGCTTTGGAACAGGTGCAGGTCCTGACTGGGACCATGAAGCTTTCTTTAATCATAAAAGAAGACTTCAGCAGAATCAGTCTAAATCAGTTGATTGCTCTAAAATTATTAGCTGTAAAGGCCTTCCCACAAGTCAGCCTTGAGACATAGGTCCTGCTGGGCCATGACCATTTCATCAGCAATGCCTTCAGTGAGGAGAAGCAGGTCCAGCTTCAGTTGCCGAAACCCCATAGCCTGGATGATGCCATAAAGATAGCCACTGAGATGGAAGTAGTGAGAAAACTGGAGGCCCTAAATATCAAAGATGCCGAGGCAAGGGCCCACATGCACACCAGGGAGGAGAAGTCAGGAGCATACACCTCAACCCCAGAGTAATCAGCCTTGCGAACAGTGATGGAGACATTGAGAGAGATCTGAGGTAAACTGGACCAGCTCAAGAAGAGCGTTGAAACCCAGCCCCAGAGCAGATGTGCGTGGGGAGATCCTCCTGGACCACAGAGGTTGGGAAGTCATCAGGAGAATACTGATGGATGCTGGCACTGTGGCAACTGTGATCATTTCTGGAGGGAATGCTCAGGGAGAAGGTGGGCCGTGGAGATAGGTCCATCCACTGCTAGTAGACCCAGAGGCCCACAGAATATGTTGGTGATTGCTGGTGTTATAAGGTTGGGCTACTACCTAGAGGGAAAGCTAGAAGTTCCTTACCATTTCCTCCTGGATTCAGGTGCCCAGGTATCCACTGTACATAGCCAGGTATGGGAGCAAGTTACAACAGAGGCAGAAATAAGCCTCAATTCTGTAGGCTATGAACTTTGCAGATTGGTCATGTTCCTTTCTGGGGAGGTATTTCCCTTTGTATACCACAGATGGCCATACAAAGTTGTAGTGGAGAAGAATCTAATAATACCTCCTAGAAGTTAGGTGATGATCTCCAGCAAACTGAAGAGATGATGCTGTGAAGACAAAGAGGCTTAGTTGCACCCAAGCTCACTGATGAATTGGGATTCCTAGTGGGAACCGCAATGGGTAAGAGCCACAGGCATTAAATTCCTGAGTGTGTTGCTAACACATTAGCAGAACCCCAAGTTGCATAACAGGGCATCATAATTGGGATGCTGGAGACAGGTGTGGCTGTCCTACAGGAGGACCTTGGATCAGAGAGGTTGGCTGCTATAAGAGTACTGAGATAAGACAAGAGCTAAAACCTCAGAGTCAGGCAATAACCATCAATAAAATGCAGGAAAATTGGAATATAACTTCAAGTTAAGTCATTGTGGCCTAGAGCCTAAGCTAGTGTGGGAAGTGCAAGAA